TTTTTTTAAAAATTGAGAAATAGGCAAATGCACTCAAGTTTTGGGGTGTTTTTAGTGACAAATGAACTGGGCAAAAATTTATGAACCACAGCAAATCTAGTTCTAAAATGAGACTCCATTATAGAGTGGGTCACCTTGCAGAGCAGTCCTCTCAGCCTGGTGTATTTTTAATCACAAATGTGATTTTAATTTTTTTTTTTTTTTAAATCCTAGATGTATTTACATTTTTAGGACTCAATTTGTGCATTTGCTCTTTGGTGGAGCATATTTTTAGTGTCTCAACTATGATGATTTCCTGGTAGCCAGATAAAGGTTGGAGTTCTGTGGAAACCTTTTCCCAAGCTGTTTCCTGTCACATTGGTTGGAAGCTGCCTCTTCCTCCAGGTGCTGCGTTAGTAACTGGAATCCTGCTGTACACAGGCACCTCTTTTCTGTGGTTTGTTCTGATATTTATTTAGCTTATCCTTTACATTTCAGGGATTTCAAGTAAGCTTTTTTTTTTTTTGTTTAAAGAGAATTTTTAAGGTAAGCCAACTTGTTGAAACTGCTTGCTGGGAAATGTTAAAAATTATCTCTCTGCACTGGTAAAACCTCTGCTTTTCTTGACAAGAGTTTTCATATTCTGATGCAATCTATAAAAACCCTAGTTAGGTATTATCAAGAAGTACATACGGTCATTTTTAATAACTGATTTTTTTTTTAATAATCTTAATTTTAGTAAAACATTTCTTCATGAAAGTGCAGGCTTTAGAGAGTTGGCAGACAGTAAATCTCATTTGGATCAGTGGGGTTTTTTCCAAACACAGATCTTTCTGTCATTGTGCGAAATCCTGACTTCACATTCCAGTGAATTTTTAAAATTGTAATTATTTGGCTATATCTTTAGCAAAACCAAATTGCTTTGTAAAGAGACTATTAAATGCGAGTTTAAAAACACCTAGGACTTGTAGTTTTTGCTTGTTTTCCTTTCATTCTCCTGTGGAAGAAAGACTGTGTGCACCTAGGTCACTTTATTTTTTTCCCCCGAGTTTTGCCAACACACTCTCCCCACCTGTCAGCAAACTATAGTGCAAGAGTGCTCTGCACATCCTCCCTTATAGCATCAACATGTATTCTAAGTTCTGTCAAGAATAATTTAAACATTTTTGAGGAAAACTGCATCCTTTGAAGCACTCCCTGGTGCCTTGTCTTCCTTTGATATTTTTAGTTGAAAAGGTCTGCAACGAGGCAGTTTGCAGTATAGGTTGCTAAGTCATGATGCACTCAGAAAGCTGCTTGGCTGTCTGCCTTCCATTGTCTGCTTTTATGATTCTACTGTTCTGATTTCTGAAGGATTTTGGTTGTTCAGTGAGTAGCCAGCCTACTGATAGGTTTTGACAATCTCACACGGTGCTCCTGCAGCTGAGTGATGATGTTACAGTCTGGATGGATGCGCGGCAGGATGGGCAAATGACCGCCTGGGTGGGAGGGTAGTGCTTTGTGGGTCATTCCCTACCTGGGGATGGGGCCAGAAGCCAGAGCTCTGTCCCAGAGGAGAAGATGGAAGGCTCTGGCACGGGGCTTGGAGATGACCCTGGCTCCATGGAAGAGCCCTGGGGGTGCTATGGGCAGCGAGCCGGGTGCCAGCCTGCAGCACATCTGGCAGCAGGGAAGGCCACAGCAGCCTGGGCCGTGTGACTGGGAACGTGGCCAGGAGTTCAAGGGAAGGGATTATCCTCTATCCAGCGTGTCTTCATGCCATGTCCAGTTTCAGGCTCTCCCAGCACAGGAGGAACATCAAAAACCAGGAGTGAGTTCAGTGAAGGGCTGCTTGATATCTGTAGCAAAAGCAAAAAAACCCCATAAAGAATGTGTGCATGCATTTTATGGTCTGGTTGGATGAGTCTACAAAAAGCGAATGAACTGTAGAGGGATAAAAAAGGGGCATTTTTTTGTGTTCTCTGTGTCTTTCTCTCTTTAGACCAGATGCATTTATGGGTTCTACGTCACATGAGATGTAAAGTTACATAATAAATTAATTGAAGGGAAGTAAACTGGTTGTCCATGAAAGCACCAAAAAGCCATCCATTTGGACAACTTGACATCTTTCATGTTGGGTCTAAGGGATGTGGTAGCCATGTAAACACCCTGTTTTTTTCAGTTGCTGATTTTTTACTTTTTAATTTTAATTTTTTTTAAGTCACTCTTCCAGCTTATTTGGGAAATCTGTTGTGCATAGCTGGAAAATGTTTTAGATTAAAGCATTAAATGGTCACTTTGGGTGCATAGACGCTTTGGGTACTCCAGCAGAATTTGAATTTGTAGGAAGTGTCAGCCGGGCCTAGGAGTGATACCAGGAAATGGTGTCCTCTACACTTGAGGTGTATGGCTACAGGCTATTGTCATTTGTTCCTTTGGAGTTTGGATTCTCCTGGTGTCCTGTTCAAACACTGAAGGTATGGGGCAGGGGTGTCAGGCTGTGGGTTGTACCCTGAGGTGAGCAGGGTGAGCTGTGGGGCTGTTCCTCAGCATGGTGCAGAAGGCTGTGCCTCAGCACTCGAGTGTTCACTTTTTTAGAAAAAAATTTGCCTACTGTTGGTGTCTGCTCTCTTAAAAGTCATAGCTGGTGGGGAATTAGTCATCTTTTATTTGGGTTATTGTGGCAACTCCTGTATGTCTGCATCGAATTGTGCATTAGCATTTTCTGTGTAGTCTGTCTTTTTTCTGTGCACAGCAGTGTGATAGAGATATAGGTGCCATTGCTAATTGAAAAGTACAGTTTTAGGGTGAAAGTCAAAATACAATAGTGTTTTAAGTGTGCCAATTCTCAGTTTGCATCCTGGAGGAATTCATATGAGCAGTGTATGATGGCATATGGATGATACTCTTGTCTTTCTTGGAACTTCTTTGGTTCTGTGTCTGTTCAGTGTTTTATAAACTACACTTGGCTTAGGGAAAATGTAATTCTGAGCAGCTCTGTGAAAGAACAATGCACCTGTTTTCTTTGGTTTCATGTTTGACGGTTGGCTTCACATCCCATCCTTAGCATTTCTGACAACAAACACAAGACCCAAATGCAGCAGTTTGGTTTTGCTTAGCCAAGCACCTCTTACTACACCTGGCAGGGCGTGAAATCGTGCAGCAAGGTTCTAGATGTTAACTCTCTACCTGACTTTGGAGAGCAAGTCTGTGACAGCTCCTCAGCTCACGTGTTTACAGTTTCCTGTGGAACATGCCAGCACAGCAGGCAGCTGTTGCCATTCAGCTCTGGCCAGGGACCATTTCAACAGTTTACAGGACGTTTTAGGCAAAATTTAAAAACAAAGAGCTCAATGTCAAGGAAGAGATTGTATGAAGTCTCACTTGGATGCCATCTCTGTTTTGGGGTTAAAAATATCCTGAACTACCAATCTAGAGTGCAAAACTGTCAGAATATATTATGAGACAAACAGAAAATTCCCATTGTCTGTGAGAGCCGCTGGCTTTTATTATTACAATTGAATAGCATTTCTGCATCATAGACAATGTTATTAATAATTGCTCATCATCCAGGACTGCAGTAAAGGAGTTGCTCCAGGGGACATGGAGTCATCGTACACCACAGTGTAATTGATAATAAAGACATGTTGCCTTCAGGGAAGATGCATTCTTTTTATACACTGATGTTTTACTTCTGAAATCTCCTTTAAGAAAGAGATTTCTGCTTATTTACTGTTGTTTTAATGAATATCTGGTGTGTCAGTCCAGTTTCCTGGCTTCTTTTGGCATCAACCACAGTTCAGTTGCTTCTGTGTATGATCTGTGACCTTGATGCAGGCAACAGAGTGAATTAACTGCTCTCTGATGTTTTGCCTGGTTTAATAAAACATGTTCTGCTTTTGGCCATAGTCTCCATAATAGTAAATGCTTTTAATGAATGTCTGTGTTGTAGAATATCATTAACATAACATTTTTCCTGGAAGACTGACACAATGCTTGTCCTAGAAAACCTTATGTGCCCTCAGCATTTATTCATGTGGATTCCATATTCCAGCTGTGTCTGTCTGGCATGTGAAAGCTTGGACATTTTTCACCCAGTGGTATTTGTTGGAGCTTTCCCAAATGGGCAGAATGGAACAGACCAGCAGCTCTTCTCGCCACCCCCATCCCTTCCATCAGTAGCTCAGCTGGAAAATTCCTTTTTTATTGTAAGCAGAGCACTCATGACACCAGAAAAGTGAACAGAGAACTCTGGGAAAAGGGTTCCAGGTTATATATTCCTGCTAAAAAGCAACGTTTCTGAAGCATGTCCTGACAGTCTGGCTGCAGTCAGTGCTTCAATAGCAATTACATATTTTTATTCTAGAAGATATTATTCTGCAATAAACAGCACAATTCTTTTCCCCTCTGTCCAGTGTTGAGCAAAACAGAGGGGAAGGAGTTCCTCTAATGATATTCTGTCTAACATTTCCTAATTCTGTCTAACATTTCCTTTGCTGCACAAAAATGTAGGATTCTTTATGGAATTTTTCCATTCTGTCTGGAGGGTGGCAAAGCCAGAATCTCAGGAACACACGCACATACACACACTTATGTATGTGCATATAAGTACATATATATATATATATCTTAACACCTGCATTGTGGTGGAAATGTGCAGCAATATTCAAATGAAAAGTGTTGCTTTTGTGTGCATTAGGTGCACGTGACTGCAGAAACATCATTACCTCAGGGTTTTTTTGCAGGATTCTGAAATCCCAGTTGTTGTTGGACAGTGCTCTCAGGTGTTCCTGTTTATACAACTCAGGAAATTTGCATCTTGCCTCAAGATAAATGGTTCTGACATCACTTTAATGTGAAGGTTATGCTGCTTAATACGGTATTCCCATCCTGGTTTAAAATACAGTTGCAAAGCACAGAGAGCTTCTTTTATTGCAATAACAGTCTGTCAGAATTTATTTAACTGGTTCTGTAGGTTTTTAGTTCTGAGAGCGAGGGGATACACCTGCAATATTTGATTTGTCTGTTTGTTTTATGCTCAGCTGAACTCGATGCTGAACATGCGCAGAAGGTTTTGGACATGGAGCACACCCAGCAGATGAAGCTAAAGGAGCGCCAGAAGTTCTTTGAAGAAGCCTTCCAGCAGGACATGGAGCAATACCTTTCCACAGGATACTTGCAGATAGCCGAGAGGAGAGGCAAGTTGTGAAATGCCTTTTGCACAAAGTCCCAGCTTGGAGAGCATTGTTGAGCGGGCAGAGCCAGCAGTGCTTACAGAGGAAGCACGGCAAAAATATCCAAATTCTTCCTCAGTAGAACTGGAACTTCAGATAAGCCTTTTAAACAAACTTTGTGTCCCAGGGGTACTGGGTATCTTAGAAGATTAGTCAGGCTCTGCTCCTTGTCTAAGGAAATGCAGAGCACTGAACTACATCTGGAACAGTGTTTTTCTCTGCAGCTGAAGAGTGCTTCTATGTAAAAATGTGGGTGGGGGCAGCTGCTTTGTCCACTGGACTTCCAAAGCCTGGGATTGTCATTTGGCAAGGAGATGCCTCAGAAAATTTTGCGAAGTGCAGAGGAAAGTTCACTGTAGCATTTCTGAGCACTTCCCAGGTGGCAGCTATTCCCATTGGGTGTGATTAGGACACAGGAGGTCACATTAAGTGCTCTCCTTATTATGAAATGACACAAGTCTGGCATCTCCAGACCGATTAAAGCACAAGAATGCCAGAGATTACCGGGAATTCTGTGTGGGAGGTTTCCATCTGTTAGGCCAAAATGCAGGGATTGTTGGACTGGTAAGGAAGCCAGTGGGAAATTATGCATTCATGTGGCAGGGAAAAATGTAGATACTCTGTCCCTGCTCCAAGTGCAGTTCTGCTATCATTTGTAATGTCAGAGTGGGGAATACAATCCAAGGTTTCCATTTCTCTGCATGAGCGCTATAAATACTCATCTGCAAGATGCTCTGCATGGGTAGCTAAGGAGAGGTGGGATATGTAAGTCTAAATACATGGTTAGGGGAGGAACTGAGTTAGGAGTTCCCTGCATTCTGTACTAGGTTGCCTTTTAGACTAAAAGTGGACATTGCCATGGGCTGACTGGAAACACAGCTCTGTTAGAGTGTTAGGCTGCCTAACATTTGGAACTTCAGGTTTTTAGGATAATGTGGAGCCCGAGTGTGTCAAAGAAACTGTTTTAATGAAAGATTTGGACCTGCAGTACATGTAAAACTGCAGAGCTGTAGCATATTTGAAAAAAAAAATCCCCCAATCAAATTACAGAATTTAATTTCAGTTCACCTATGAAGGCTTTCAATAATGTAATTGTTACATTTAGATAAACAAGCAAACTGTTCATTGCAATAATTTGATACTATGCAGCAGGTGGATTTAAATCTCAGTGGCCCTGAACTTACTTGTTTCCTGTTTGCATATTTTGCTGTTCAAGGAAGAAGATGCTCATACAAGTATTTACTTATACTTCCCTTACAAATTGTCAGTACTGTATTGACAGTAATAAGTCATTTGTTTGAGTAATTAGTAATGTGAAATACCCATGCTGAGAGAAGATACTGGGCATGAGCCTGGGTTTTACAGACTGCTGTAATTTCTTAGATTAACTGAGAGAAGAACAGCTGCTTTCTGTTAACATTAATCCTGGTTTCTGAATTTCTATGACCTTTGTGTATTGACTTTTAGTGACTGTGTCCTTAAATGTGTTTGCTTTTCTTTAAAAAGACTTCTGGTTGAGAAAATTGAAAAGGAGTGTTCCAAAATGGAAAATTTCAATCCTTGTGCCTGAGTCCCATCTCAGCTTATTTCTGAGAAGGTTATTGCTATATATACTGCTGCTAAAAATGTTTTGGTTTACAGAAGCAGTAATGGATGTTAGTTTCACAACAAAGATTGCACACAGTGCTCTTGGGTTTGGGTTGATGTTGCTGCTGAGCAGCTCCTGTGGGCAGGCTCCTTCCATTCCTAAGTTTAATTATTGCTGCTGCAGACAATTAGAGCAGCCTCTGGAGCCTTGGTAGGTAATAACCTCATGTAGCTGATGGTCAGTTGTGCTGTTTCTCCTGCAGAACCCATTGGAAGTATGTCTTCCATGGAGGTGAACGTGGACATGCTGGAGCAGATGGACCTAATGGACATGTCTGACCAGGAAGCACTCGACGTCTTTTTGAACTCAGGAAGCGAAGACAATAATGTGCTGTCTCCCATGCTGGGTATGGTACCTGTAGTGACAGCCTGCTTAGAGACAGTGATAAACCACCAGAACTGCTCTCTTTTGTAATGGGTGATGCTATCTCATAAAACATCACACTTGATGCAGATTGACTGTTCTTCATTAGTGCTTCTCGAAATGCTAACATTTAGTTGCTGTACAAGGGAGTTGCTGCAAAACTGTGTGGTATTTCCAGATAATCTCATTTTTCTTACTGCAGCTCCCTATTGTATTCATCAAAGTCTGAATAGGTGATGTTTTACATACTGGCTTGAGGGGAATTTTTCCCAATATAGAGTTAATAGAGGACATTTTGACAAACATCAACAGAAAGCTTGAAGTAATTAGGCTTTTATTTTTAATACTGATTGCTTAGAGTTTGTCCAGAATGTTGCTTGTCAAACTTGGACCAGCTGTGTAATACAAGACCTTTGGTGAGAGATACTGGGAGACAAGGTTCAACCCAGCAGTTTACATATACACTGAGAATTCGTGTCTCAATACTGGATCTTTTCCCCGCCATGGAAATGTTTTCCTAGTTAAAAACTTAAGTGCTAAAATGCCTTTCCTCAAAAGCGCCAAAATGATTTTTCTTGTGGGAGAGGAGACGAAACTCCTTTAAAGATCCTTTTGATTTCTTCTCAAAATACAGATTGAAGTATCATTATGGAAGTACTTACAGTACTCCATATGTAAAGGTGATTAACACCTGCTGTGAACATGAAAACTTGTGGTAAATGGTCAAGGCACACTTGTACTAAAGACTTAGGTTTTTGTGTTTCATTGCAAAAACTGAATTGAGATGGGTGGTTTTGGATAGGCATCCACTTTGTGCATTATTAAAGCTGATCATCATTTGAGCTTGCCAGTAATTGCAGAATCTAGAACTGTTTTCCCCTTGCTGGTTTTTTGGCAGATGTTGGACCAAGAAGCTTCATGTCTTAACAGCAAACAGTCTCAGCTGGATTATCTAAGGAAGGGCAGAAACAACTTTTTTAACTAAGCCGATAAATGCATTAGCTTTTGAAAAAAATGCATTCTTTATTTTATGCTGTAACCTGAATATTACAGCACATATAAATATTACAGTACAGTGTCTCTACGTGGACATACACTGCAATATAATGTACCTGTGCTGCAATAATGTTCCAACACTGCAACCTTACTGCACTGTAAGTCCCGTGAATCTTGCTTTTGTGGTCCCAGACATTTTATTTCCCTCTGATTAAGGGATTTTTGTGCTTGTTTTAAGAACCTAGCACCCCAGTATCAAACCAAATATGCAATAGTCTCCATTCTTAGAAAAATGAGATTGGCTTAAAGGTAACTATTTTGCTGTCAGTGGAGAACTGGGTTGTCAGGGCAAGGTTTGTTTGACAATTGGCCTGAACACCACAAAATAAAGGTAAGTTATTAAAATAACTGGTAAAAATTAGAATCAGCTCAAGACATTAAAATGTTTTTAAATCTGCCTTGCTATATAAACATTGCCAGCTTATGGACACTGGTTTCTCAGCATTTCATGACAGTAAGTTAAACTGCAAAATTGAGTTAGCTCTGTCACTCCTGAAAACTCCTTCTCTGTGTGTTGTCTAAATTGATCTAATGCATGCTGGTGTACACCACACAAGGCAGGTTCTCTAAAATTTCTAGTGTTAAAATATAACTCAGGTACTTGAGGAGCAGGCATAGACAGTGTGGTTTGAGCTGCTCTGCGAAGTCTGAGCAGAGGTCAGGTGTAGCTCATATCCATCTGACCCTTCTGAAAAACTTCTAATAAAATTTTTAAGAGAATTTTCTCACTAAAGTGACTCATCAGCTGAAGCTGGGTGCTCTGAGGATAGAGAAACACTTGTTAGGTATAGGAAAGAAGGAAAAAAGGGCTTTCTTTGGCAGATCACATAGAAAGTGTTTAGAAAGTGTTTCCTCATTTGAAATTTTTTGCTGTCCAGAACTGTCCAGGGAAGAGGATCTAATTTTGAAACTTGAACTCTCAAACTGCAAGCAAACACTGTTGCACTGTGTTCCAAGTCTTTTTTACACAGGATATGGAAAAAGCAGAATCTTAAAATCCCACTCCTGTGCACCTGAGCTGGGGTATAGCTCTACCAAAGGATTGCTTTCATGCTGAACTAAATTTGATTTGCTTTTGCATTTTCATTTTTAGTCAAAACTGGTGATGACTCTTATTGCCTGCTTCCTAGTTGTTTGTTTGGTTTTAAATTTCCAATTTGTGTAGTTCTGTTACACTGAGTTTATTGGGGGGTACTTGGCGTCTTGGAAAAGAAGGAAAACAGCCTGAAAGTGACTCCTTAACCAGCGCTGAGCTGGTGTTAATGCATTGACTTCTCAATGCCCTCGCTGAGCCAGAGCTTGATGGTTGTTGTTGCTGTCACTTCCCAACTCTCAGGGCCTGACTCCAACACCTACGTGAACGAGATCAGTCTCCAGGTGCCGAGCCAGTCGGAGTTACGGCAGAAACTCTGTTCCCTGTCCTCGACCTGCACCGACTCCGCCAGCCAGGACGCGAGCGAAGGAGAATCCCCCGTTGTTCAGTCGGATGAAGAGGAGGTTCAAGTGGACACTGCCCTTGCTGCTGTAACTGAGAGAAAGGGTGCTTCAGATGGCAGTGATGAAAGTGACTCTCAAACTAATTGAATCTTAAAACCATATCCTTTAAGAATGTCTTCTGAATGAATGAACAAGTGAATGAAGAGCTTGCCTGTGTAACAATTTGCTAACCAAGCGTAACAGCCAGATCTTTTTACTTAGTAATACTGCCTTTTTACAAAATTGCCAGTCATGTGGAGGTTGGTTTTTAAAGAAAAAATTACGCCTAAAGCACACACACTTTAACAGTAGTCTTGGGGCTCAGGGGAGCAGTAAAGCTGTTGTATATACTATGTATAAGAGAATTTAAGGGGAAAGGTAGAAGTTACTTTGACCACTAACCTTTAAATGGCTGATTGGAAGTACTTAAGAGTTGATGTGTAATACTGAACCCAAATTGTTCCTTGCATGTTTTCAGCTGCTGCAAATGAAGATTTAGGATCCAAACCAAAATGAAAAGTTATTTTCTACTCTTTACTACCTACTGTCTGCCTCCTGCCTTTGTCTACTAACGCAGCGGTGTCTACTGTTCTCACACTTCTTATTCAGGACCAACTTAGTTATAGGTGTTAAGGAAAAAATAAGAACCCGAGAAGGAGGAGAGATGCATATGGAAATGTTGCACTCCTTGTGGAGCAGGTATCTTAGCATTGTGTACTTACTCCTCTTTCAAGATAAAATAAAGAATTTCTATTCCAACCATGTCTTTTACTTGATTATCCAGGTATTTTATCCATGACAAGTGAACAGAGGAGCCTAACTCAGGAAGAAAAATGATTAGGAGCACCAATGTAATGTGCTTTTCCATGGTAACATCTGTTTGACTACACTAGGGAGATAAACCTGAGTTAATTGTTAATTAAGTTTGTGTATTTTAGAAACCTCAGGACCTATAGGCATCATCTCATTCCCATTTTTTCTGCAGTCGTTTTTCTCTCTGAACTTGAGGTCTGAGCATGTCTAATGCCTGTTGCTTGTCAAGTCTCATGCTCTGTTTTCAGGGATCTGCTCTCCTTTGAGAAGGCTCCTGGCTCCTGCTCTTCCTGCACAGAGGGAAGGAATGTAATCAGAAACAGTGTAAGTAAAAGGATGAGCTGTGATGTAGATCCCTTCCAAAGACCTGCCCTGACAAAGCCAATGGCTGGGAAGAGGGGTATCTCCTTGCTCCTTGCCAGCTGGGCAGTAGCCAGTTTCCTTAAGGATTCTCCTGTTAGCTGATCCCTGTCTGGGAAATGAAGGCTGGAAGCTCCCTACCTACAATTAGAGATTTACTATTCAACAAGGCTTGACCTTGAAGGAGCTTCCTTTACTCTCTCGCTTTCCAGAAGACAGACAAAATGTCCAAAAAAGTTTTGTTTTTTTTATTAAACCTCGTAGTACAAACCTGGAAAGTAAACAAAAAACTGGCAATAAACAACATGAAGTCTTTCCTTACAAGGAAAGAGAGCAGAGCAGCGCTAATAAATTAAATGTCAAACTGTAAGCCATAGTCAGAAGTTTACTGTCAAGAGGGAAAAGTACACAGCAAGGCCATAAAAACCAGACAACCACATTTGAAAACACTTGACTCTGTTTATGTTATTGTTAAATATTCCAAAACAGTTCAGTCTTCTGCAACAACAATCAACAAATTGTATTATAGGACTTTCCTGACAGTCACCACTGGCAAGCTCAGTGCAATATGGGTAGCTACGGTATTGTTGAATTCAATTACGAAACAAAACAGTTTGTGAAAACATTTTCCCTTTTTTATTCCACACATACTGTACACACAACCAGAAAAGGGCAACAGCTACTCCATTATTATTTTTTGTTGTTGTTCAGTGATGTAAGCAGCACTTATAAATGTTACAAGAAAAACCCTGTAAGCATCCAATCCAACCGATGAAGAAAGTGAAACGTAAGGCTTTTCTTCATCTTGTCTCTCTGCCATCCCTCCCCCCACCCCAAGAAAAGGCTCAAGTATTTAAAAAAATTTACAGGCATATGTACAAAAGGTGTGATTTTTTTTTTTTTTGTTACAACATGAAGAGAAAAAATAGACAAGATGAAAGCAAATGCATTTTCACATTCAAAAGAAATACGCAGACTTGCTAGTGGCTCTAAATGTGATCATATAATGAAACAAATTCAAAACAAAATTAATGCTTGACTGTGTAAAGATGTGAAAAACAGCAGTGGAATGGAAATGGAATGTTAGAAAGATTGCACGTCTATGACAAAAGAAGCACTTATGGCTTCAATCACTTTTTTTCTTTTTTAATCTTTTTTTATTTTTTAAAGGATGCTATTGAAGGGTTTTTGATAAAGTAGCCAACAGCACCAAAAAATAACAGAATGGATTTCCTAATGAAATCAGGCACAGTTTTCCCTCACATAACTCCTCAAGGCAGGCAGTCTTTTTTCCTCCTTTTTTTTATTTTTTTTTTTTTTATTTTTTTTAAATTTTTTTTTCTTTTTTTTTTTTTTTTTTTTCCCCTCAAAACAGATGCATAGTGATGTGCTGGTAAAAGAGAACATACTCCAAATCTCCTCCTTTTGCCTACAGTTAGGAAACAAAGTCCATCTTCAGCTGCCATAACCTCCCAAAGAAAGTGTGTATTCTCCAATTTAAAAAATTACAAAACTCATCTTGCTGTGACAGAATAAAAGACAGCCAAAGTAAAGCAATTTCTTTCAAGTTTTTGTCTCCTATCCCTTTTCTCTCTAGAAAAATCTGCTCACATGACCGGAGAACAAATTATAAAACACATCAAACTTTAACCTATTCAAAAATGGGTTAAAAGCCTTTTTTTCACAGTTACCAAAAGGCTTTTTATTTTTTCAGCCATAGGGACAATACAAATTCGTATTTTATCAGCCCCTTGCCGGTTTTAAAACAGTGAACATACGGCAGTTTAAAAAAATCAGACTGCTGTATCTATCTAGTCTAAGTACAAAAAAAAAAAAAATTTCAACAGTTTAATGCTAAAACAAAATTAGTTCTCTAAAACCAGAAGAAAATCTTCTTTAGAGCTAGTGCAAAGACAGCTTGTATTCTACAGCAAGTACTCCAAACTATGGTATAATAATTACAAAAAATATATATAAATTGACAAAATGAGAGTGTTGGCATCTTCAGGATTAACTTGAAGCACTTTTGGATGAACTGGAGGATGAAAGCCTAGATGATGGCACGTCCACTGTTGCTCTCTTACGAGGTCCTCTTTTTGGTGTAGGCTTGCTGATACAGTTCTCAATGCTGCCGTTTTTACCAGATACTTTTCCACAGATTTGATTGACAAGACTGATTATTTGTTCCTGTTCAGGAAGTGGGAAAAACAAAACACAAATTAGCATCTCCTCTTCCTTCAGAGTCACTTAAACAGGAGTGCAATGGAGCGCTCAGAAATGCTGGGAAGCTCCACCTTAAAAAGCCGCTTGTACCGACAGCGGCTGAAGTGTCATTTCTCCCACCGCTCTGCTCTTCACCTTTGGGGCCAAGTCCCCTCACAGCTAAAGACATGGAACCTCAGCCCAGAACCCAGGCACAGGACTAAGCCCCCATCTTGAGTTCTGGGATTATTCATCATCGCATTTGCTTGGCACCATTACTGCACCTCTCATCTGCACGTGCTCTGCAAGTTTGCCCTAAAGGGGATCATGCTGGACTGGAATAAGTCCACAGAACTTCCAGTTACCAACAGAGGGAAGGTATTCCAAAGTACAGAATTAACCATAGCATAACCAGTGAAAGCAAAGCCTCATGTTCCATCCCAAAGCATCAAGTGGCTTCTTATGTTCTGTGGCACATATTCATGGAATTTATGCTTCAGGTTTCATCTGTGTCATCATGTTCCCTTTGTTTATTTTTTTTTTACTTAAATCATAATAAAGCACCTTCTTCCCACATCAAAACCAAAACCAAGACAAACCCCCAAACCTAAGACCATTTTCCTGAGGCCTCAGTAGGACAGAGTGAAGTGTCCTCCCAAAAGGGGTACCCAGCCCCTGGCCCCGGGGCGGTGTCACGCTCACCTCATCGTAGCGGTACATCATCTTCAGCCCCCGGCACGACTTTTGCTTCTCCACGTGCCGCAGGGCACACTCCAAGCAGAAGACAACATTTTCATTCTCCTGTACAACCTACGTGGAAGAGCAGAGGTGGGGGAAGAAGTGCAGTTAAACTCCAAACTGTACCTGTGTTCTCCACACAGTATTCAATTATGGCCTGACTTACTACACCTGGATGTTACTACAAAGTGTGAAGCACAATCTGAAATCATTCAGGATGTGCAATAACTAGAAAGAAAAAATCCCTTTTAGAGTGCCTAATGTTGGCAAATATATCTATAATTTTAAAATCCCTCCACCAATAGTAATGAGGGCTAAATCCAAACAGTACATGCATTTATTAGCATCTCCTATGCAGTCCTAAAGATCTCCTGAAAGGAGTAGTTTCCCATTACTTAAAATGCTGCCTTGAACAAGGATGTAATGAGCTTAGCCACAGGATTCCTCAACTACTGTCTTGTTCAGCAGAGGTGACATTTGCTCAGCTGGCTGCCTGCCAGGCCTGCACACTCAGCTTGCAATTTAACAAGCAAGTTGGGATTTTTTAATCCACAGCTACTGTCAAAGAGTGACACAGAAAGATCCTTCCCATCTTCCCAATGATTAAAATTACTCCAGAGCAAATGGACCAGAAGGTCCATAAAGAGGTTCTGGTTAGTATTTTCAGGGTTTTTTTTCAAATAAACTCATTTTAAAGTTACTTCAAACTAATGCTACTTAAAAAGTGGTCTAAAGACATGTATAAACTCAGCATATTTTATCCTAGGGAGGGAAACAGCTGCATCTGATTATATGCAGTTACATTTCATTTCCATTAAAAACCAAACATCTATAACCAAAAAGTCCCCAAAAGATGACTAAGAACTCCCAAACTTAAAGGACTGAATATGGACTCACATGCACTGCATTATGTTTATTTGAATACCTGTTCTTGGATTAAAATGGTATAGAAGGTTGTGGGAGGGGCTTCTCGTTTTTTTAATGGCATTGCTGTGTTTGTAGGTGTTCTGCATACAGCTCTAAGACTGGAAGTGCCACCGCAGTGGTCAGCACACCTTCAAAAGCCAGTAGGCATTTCCCTCTTAAAAGACAGAATGTTTATGGGCTATTTTTGGACAGGCTGGCAAACAGCTTGATGGATGGGATACATCTCCCCTGCAGTCTGGCTTGCAGGGACATTGTCTCAGCACGGGCTGTGGCTGCGTGCCTGAGGCTCATGGCATGTGTGTGAGCTGAGACCTGCTCTGTCACAGCTTACTGCTGCTGACAACCTGCAGGTGCCTTTGTTAGCCCTCCAGTGCAGTGCAAACATCTCTTAGGTGTCTGAGGGCACTGGTTCATCCCTTCTGGCAGGGTGGGAAGCCAGCTGACCCCGTTGTCTTCTGTCACCACTGGCCAAGGCAGTAAATGCCACATCAACACCTCTGTGTCTTGCATGGAATGCAGGACATGGCTCCGTGGCCACGTGCTGTCTCTCAAATAGATCCTATATCTATAGCCTATAGATCCCTGGAATGATAGGGTAGGGGGACAGTACCCCAGGAGTGGCAAAGGATTGTACCCACCATGGAAAGATAGCACAGGTGCTGACAGATCTGACACCTCCTCTCTGACGTTTCTAACTGCAACCACTTTCGAGGCTTTTTCTTGCCATCCACGCCGGTGCTGCTGCTGTCGTGGCTGCCGTAGCGCGCCGAGGAGTGGAGACCGGCCTCGTACAGCTGCCGCCGCTGCCTCAGCTCCGTGTCCCTGTGAACGGGGGCACAATCAGACACTGGCACTGCCTCCAGCCACCACAGAGCCACACACAGTCACCCCATTCACCCCGCTCATCACTGAAACCTGAGCTCCACACAGCAAAGCCCTGAGTGTTGTCGGAGGTTGGTGCCATTCCCTAAGCATGGCGAGCACAGCCAGCGCCCAGGAAACGCTCGCTGCCTAATTGCAAAAGCTATCTCCGGATTTTAACAGCGACCACTGTATCAAGCCAATGGTTCTCAAACTGCTCCACAGAGAACTGGGGACTGCCGAGGACTTCCTGGAGGTCGATGGTTGCTCGAGCCATGTGGAGAGTCGGGAGCTGTGGTTAACATGACTGTCATTCCTGAAGTTGCCAAAAGCCACCTTGAGGAAGAGGAGCCGTGGCTGTCAGGAGTAACAGCCAAGCCTTCATCAGGAGGCAGAGATGAACCAAGGACCTGCTGCCATAAGGTGCTTCAGGCAGGAAAGGGGGAGCAGGGCAAGTGACTATGCCAAAAGACGAAGATCTTGCTGTACACCCAGGGAAAAAGAAGGAGATGTCAATAAAGGACAACCACCAAGCCCTCCGGCTGCCCTTCACCCATGGCATCTCTAAGGCGGACAATACCTCCTGTGCTGAACTCTACAGCTTTAGGAGAGCAGGTTGGGTTGGAGCTGAGTGGAAGACAGCAAGTGTGGAGTGAGCTGAGCAGATGGAAGGGGAGGATAAAAAAGTGCACCACCAGACACAGCTGAAGATGAGTGGAGAGCCAAGCTAAGCAAATGGCACGGGCAAACTGAGCAACCAAGGCATATCAGGAGAAGAGGCAGCAAGAGACACAACAAACAAGCAAAACAAAACAAAGTATAAAAAATATGGTACACTGTTCCACTTCAGATGGCTTTTTTTTTTTCTTTTTTGCCTTTTTTTTTCAGATTGTTTTGTCTGGGCTTTTGTTTCCTATAACCAGCCACAGGAAGGATCCATATCCTCCAGTGAATTCCAACCTATGTATAAGAACAAGTTTGAGAACCACTCTGATAAAGGTCGATGTGATGGTCTAAGAGCAAACACCAACATTTGTTTCGCCTTTTGTACTTGCAGACTTCCTCTTCAAGGGGAAAAAAAAGGCACTTGAAAGTGGTTATTCCCACAGGGGAGCCACCTGCAGGTAAAGCAGTCAGCACACCTCTTTGCATTTCTTTCTGAACACTAAACAACACATGGGCTGTTTTCCCCTTCAATATGTCACTGGAAATTTTCCAAATGAGCATGCTAGTTAGTTAAATACAGTTTGTAGACTCCATTCATCAAAACTTTCTTGACATCTCGAGTATCAGTTGTCACAAACTTGAAAGATAGGTAGCAACTACATGGTAGGGAACAAAAGAGAAGATCATTACACAGGAAGCCAGGCAACATTATATTTTCTCACCTATCTTAAGAGAAACCCTGAACAAGTGTCCTTAATGCTAGACAGAAAAAGGAGTGTGAAGCTTTTACTCTTTAAAACGCTGGAGTTCTAATGCCAGATGCATTACGATGCATGCACAACTGCTCTCTTACTATTTAAAACCAACTCTGTGTATACAAAGGACCTTTTGTACCTGTAGTATAACTGCCTTGATACTGAAGACAAGAGTTCCTGGTGCAAAACCCACTACAGACATGGATTGACAGTGACTACTGATGCCAAGAGGTTGAAAAACTCAAGGAAGGTGTTTAACCACTTGGCATCACATAGTTCACATAATGCATCAGGAAATCTCAACTCTCAGCACCAAGAATTAATAAAAAGCCAGTGCAAACTGCAGTTCCAATTTTTTTCAGGTGTCTAAAGTAGGGAATTCTTAGAGTTAAGACATCCTAACCATGGGCACTGTCAC